ATTCAGTGCAAAAGCCGTACACAGGGTTTTATAAATACAGAGGTCCCAAAAGTGATCTTGCTAGGGGGTGCGGGGAATATTATTTTTCCACTGTAATTGTCAAAGAACTTAGGCTATGTATATTTGTGATAAATATGGATCCATTGCAATAAAGTTATTCTTATTCTGGGCACTGTATGCAATAGGCTATTGCTTTATCTGCTTTCCTCTCCTCTCTTATCTCCATCTCTCGTTCTTCTTCTCTCAGTCTCTTTATCTTTACCTGTAAATATCCCCTTCCTGAAGTTGAGCTTTGATGGATGTTTAGTTTTGCCACTTACATACTATCTCGTGAAGCTTTGCATTGGGATTCGCGCGTGGCTCGTGCTTCTGTGAACATAAATCCTGATTTGATCGCCATCTCAAACATTGACGCATCACAATTTGATAATTTAATTAATAGTCTCTATTTTACTGATAACTTAAACAAATGTTAAAATAAATGTTACTCGAATAATTTGAGGAATGTTTAATTTGCATAGAACGTGTTATCTTTCTTACGCGTGAAGTGGAAAATCGATTCCTGAGCAATCGATGCCAACTAATTCCTAAGGGACACTTCAGGGAACACACTCAGGAACATATACAACTTCTGTAAAATATATCTTTTTGAGTCTTCTAAGAGTGAGCGTTATCGGGGAACCGGGCCCTGGTTCTTCCAAGCTTTAGAAGAATCCATCCATGATAAAAGTGAATCTTTCCATCAAAACAAAAAGTTACTTATGGATATATGCACTTTTATGATGGACAGATGCACTTTTATGGACTTTAAAACAGAAACGGCCATACACTGCCATTATAAAGCTTGGAAGAACCAGGACATTATTTAATATAACTCCGATTGAGTTCGTCTGAAAGAAGAATGTCATATACACCTAGGATGACTTGAGGGAGAGTAAATCATGGGCTGATTCTCACTTTTGGTTTGGACCCCTTTAAGATCTGAAACTACACTTGCATCTGCTGTACGAGTCCAACCAAACACTCACGTGGTTCCCTTCACGGATCTCCAGAGGCCTTCTCTTCAGATCTGTGACCGTCTCGTTATAGATTTCCATATAGGAGACATGCAAGAGAAACTCCTTCTCCGGAAACTGGAGAAAGATGCAAAGAAATAAAGCTATTAAATGCTCACTGCCAGAAAAGACATTGGTTAATGCACCATTAACAAATGTACAAGACAGACGTACTGAAATAAACTGCTCTTCAACCATGATTCACCCCAAAATCACAATGCCGTCAATTGTGAGGGGAAAAGACTGAAACGTAAGCACTGTAAAACGGTTCAGATCTCAAAAGTCCTGGTAAACAGGACTTTTAAAGCACTACCTTTTTGGTTTTCAAGAACTACAATCAGAGATCTCACTTATCAAACAATATCTTCATTATCTTTCAAAAGAAAAGGTAAATGGACAAATGAAAATAAATGAATAAAACAAAATGGTACTAATAAAGTGCAGCAAATGCAATGGCTGAAAACTTCAACATTAGAAAGGATACAATGTCAAAGATATTTTCCTTATTCAAACGGACTATTTTTCTTATGAATATATGATTGACATGAAGAATAAAAGCTGTATCATAGTAATAGGCGATAGAAACGATACAAAATTGGCCTACAATAGAGATTTTAATTCTAGTGCATCATCTTCTCAGAGTTTCTCTCCTGACATATAAAGCCTTGTTCACCAGCCTGACTTCGTCATACTCATTTTCTAATAAGAAAATGGGTCTGAGACCGCTCCATTGGGCTTTGATTATGAGGCGTTTCTTAAAGGGTTAGTTCACCCAAAAATGAAAATTAAGTCATTAATTACTCACCACCATGCTGTACCAACCCCGTAAGACCTTCGTTCGTCTTCCGAACACAAATAAAGATATTTTTGATTAAATTTGAGAGCTGTATAACTACCACATTGGCTGCCTAAGGGACTGCCTCTTGACTGCCCAGAAAGTCAATGAAGAAAATGTTTAAATATCCCAAGTGACTACCGTGGCTCAACTATATGTTTATCAAGCGACGAGAATACTTAAACAAAAATAACGAGTTTATTCGACTATTCCTTTTCTTCCTTGTTGGCCAGAAACGAGACTTCCTTAGATTTCCACGACGCATGCGCGAGAACTGAACTGAAGTAGTGTAAGGAGATCGCAATGGGCTATATGCACGCATAAATTCCGCATTTGACGCAAGGATGCTCGTCCATTTCCGGTTGTGTAGATTAAAGCGGAGGAAAACCGAGGAAAACGGGATTATGGCAGAGTCTTCAAAATTTACTGTCCTCCACACTTTTGAAATGAAACGTACATACGTTTAGATGTAATTTTATATATAGTTATATTTATTTAATATAATTTTAAAAAGAAGCATAAACACAACGAGGGGTGTCTGTTTTATCTGTTTTTGTGACTAACGTTTCATTAGTATAACCATGGAGTATTAAATTCAATATAAATTCTCGGTATTGCATTGGACTCTATGATCGGCGGAAGTTATCGAGCATCCTTAATCCTTCACCGGAAATAACGCCGTGCATAGAGCCCATACCGAGAATTTATATTGAATTTTATACTCCATGGTTATACTAAAGAAACGTTAGTCACAAAAACAGATAAAACAGACACCCCTCGTTGTGTTTATGCTCGGTGAAAACTCAACTGATCCTAACGACATAGGCCTCGTTGAAATCGTCTATTAGCACTGAAAATAACAATATAATTTTCATAATTTTTGGCAGAGGATTGGCTGAGATATCTGTCGAAAACCAACATGCGCGTTACATGTTGTCCGCGAGATGAGACGCGGGTGACGTCACTATCCCAGCAAATTCTGTGAAAACCATATCTCGGCGAAAACTGAACGGATCTGAACGCCACAGGCCTCGTTGGAATCGTATATTCGCACTGAAAATAACAATATAAGTTTCATAATTTTTGGCGGAGTTTTGGAAGAGATATCAGGTGAAAACCAACGTGCGCGTTTTCATGGCGGCCGCGAGCGGAAGTGCGGGTGATGTCACTGTCTCCGAATGAAATCGCTCTGAAAACCCAGAACAATAATTTTGACAATACATTTGATAATATATATCTGTGTCATTCTGTTAGTTCACCTCACCTCCTGATCGAGACGTTCATTCTTTTGCAACTTCATATTTATCGTTTGTTCTCCTCCTCTCGTGTCGCTAGTTGTTGACTCGTCAGTGTCTGACTCTGATCTGTGCTGTCTGCTGGACCGTGCCGTGTGTGATATACAAAATGATTAGTTCATCTCTCGAGTCTGGAGTTCGGGATCGGCCAGGTCTGAGTCTTTCGTTCTTCCTGTCAGTCCCATCGAGACTATGCTGAGTCCTGAAACTGCAGCCTCGGTTGTGTTATCTCTACGGCTCTGGGAAACGGTTGAGGAGCCGACCAATCAAAAGTTCTCAGCATGCTCCTCTCATGAATATGGTTAAATACTTGCTAACTACATTATTTATTCATATATACACACTACTATCATTACATAGAGAAACTTATATATAAAAGTAATGTAAGTTAAGTTTCTCTGCTTTTCTTTTAACATTTGATGCATATTGTTTGTCATAACTAACCAGCGCACAGAAAGCCTGTAGCTTGAATAGGATCAAATCAATGTTCATTCTACAAATGGCAGATCTGGTTATTACATAAAGATGATTGAACCATCCTGTATATGACTGTACAGTGATCATATCACCTTTCTGATCTAATAACCAGTATTGTCAATGATCATATATCCATAAATTTACACACACTTAAACACACATATTCACACACACACATAGGCTACACACTGTAAAAATAGAGTAATAGTGATAGTTATTATCTCCCGACAAGAGTCTCATGTTAACGCAGCATGTTAATGCCGATAACGGCCCACTCCTGATATATATAATCTGTTCACAGTTGAGTTGGGAGCTGACTATACCACGCAAGCTATGATGACTTTCACTTTGATATTTTAGCGCAGATGTTGTTGAATTGCACTGTAAGGGCCATTTAAAACCAATATATTGAAATGCCTGTTTATCCAGTCATTAGGAAAATATCAGTCTATGCATTTTATATTTAATATGAGGGAAATACACATCCGTAAAAGGGGTCGCACACCGAACGAGAAGAGAAGCGCCACGTCTAGGGGGCTGTTTACACCTGGCCACTTCATGCGTTTTCTCAGATCGGATAGTTATCTGATTTATCAAAACGATAATTTACACCTGGTCACATAAATGTGTTTTTGCAAAACGGATATAAATCCGATCTTCAATTCCCCCACGCTATGCGGATTTAATGAAGTGCACGTCACCGAAAACAAGATGAGCTGCATTTTATTGATCATCGGCTAATTTCAAAATCAGCAAAGACAGCAATAAGAGAGAGCGGCAACCTGGTAAGATCATTTAGTTTCTTTACTTTTGATGAAGATGGTAGTGTTAAGTGTTTGCGACTTTCACTTTGATTTGCCATAGATTGCGGCGCGTTGCTTGATACCCAGCAAACACATGACGTAACGACGACCAAAAGTAACGTCAGTATTGGTCGTTGGTTCGTCGCGTCACCAAAAGACTATGCCACGACTATGTGGCAACGTCATCAGAAGGTAGTCTTGTGACCACATCGCTTGGTCGCTTCCTTACCTTCCCACAACGTTGTCTAAAGACCAGGTGATGACCAATCATTTTCTAACCTCCTCACCACGTCTTAGCCACGTCATTTCTAGACTTAAGCAGTTCGAAATTGTTTTCAGATGTTTTATATTTACAGGTGCTGGTAATATAATTAGAACATCATCAAAAAGTTGATTTATATCACTAATTTCATTCAAATAGTGAAACTATATAGTATAATTATATTTAATTATATATATATATATATATATATATATTATTTATTATTTATTATTTAAAAATGTTATCCATTCACCTGTAGTGTCTCACTTAAGACTCATTCAAGTCATACAGATTTCAACAATTTCCCTTCAGTACAGTAGGGGGCAGTATATGCAACTCAAACGCTTGCAGCGAAGAGCTTCCGTTGCTGGTGTATAAGTCCCGCCTCACGAACGTGCACGGATTGTGTTTGAATTTTCACTTTTCACTTTTCGTATCCTTTGACTATCTTCTAGTGTTTTATTTTACACACGTTTCTATCTTTTCAGTTTATAGTTACTTAACGTTACAGCAGTACTTTTAAACATATCAATCGAAGAAAGAAGAAATACACCATTGCTTCACGACGAAACACAGGTAAGTGTAAAAACAACCCGCCGTAAGGGTCCCACACGTTCTCTGAAGTATTATTAACCAGGATCTCTATTTCAAATGTAGTTTTTAAATGGCTTTTTAACTAGTTAGGTTTAATTGTTGAGTAGACAGTGTTGCGTCTGTAAACTTTTCTGTTTATAGAACTAGACAATCACCTAACTTTGTTTTGAACATCTTTTCAAAAACATCAATTGGCTACCATGTCTTTACACAACAAGTAAAGTATATTTATATAACGTTAGCACTTTTCACAATTTAGCATAGATTGCATCAAAGCAGTTTCACAGTATCAATCAAAACAACATAACAATGGTTCTTTCTTAGTGGAAAAACAACATATGGTCTCAAGCGGATTTTGCTTTTGCTTATTTTATTTCCAAACCATACTTCTTCTTTTTTTTACAATATTAGGGCCAGTGCTTGAAGTTGGAAAAATAAGGTGCCGGTACTCTCTTGCATTGGCAAATCATGACATTTAAAATTTATACAGTGAAGAACAAAACTTGGAAATATTGCTGGTACAACAAGAATTTATTGTTATTTATGAACTACATACATTAATTTTAACAAGTAGTGTGTGTGCGTGCATTTCTTTACAAAGAAATCATCTTTTAAGAAGTTGGTCATTTCATAAACTTGATTCTTGAAGTTTGTTAAGATTGGAGGTATACAACAATGGCATGTAAATGGTAAACAAAACAACGAAGAAAACCGCTCTGATATTGCCTTTTCAGTCATACTTCGATTTGTTTACAGCAAACATAAAAAAAAGTACACTCAGGATTGATTTGGGCATGTACCTGTCTGTGTAGGCTATTACATTAACTAAAAGAACTTATATTCTGACTAGTTCGCTCGTTTTATTTATTTATAAAACATATAGTGTTACCCAAACTGAATAATTAAGACAAGTTTAAATGGCTACATTTTTGTATAAATATTTTTGAGTCTTCGTTTTCTTTTCTGATGTAGCCTATTCTAGTTCTTGTTAAAACACACTAATTGCAAATTCTGTGCACTTTGGGCACTTTTTGTGTCAAATCCTATTTATTTTCTCCTTCAACAGTGTGCTTTCACTTTAAATGTGCGTAGCACAACACAAATAGACTCGGCCCGAACCCCCAGTTCACTGCCGCTCACGCGCCACTCCTCCGCGCCCGCGCTGTGTGAAAATGCACTCACTGATTAACATGCAAACCAAAAAAAAATACGCACTGATCACGCTTCACAAAATACGTGGTGGACACGATCAGCTTCGGTAGCCTATCGCAGCCGCAACGCGCCGCAGATGTGCAGTGTAAATAAGGTGTTAAACAGCCGTCACACTTTTTCTGTCAGTGGTAGAGTACCGGCTACATGCAAGAAGTAGTGGTACGCAAGAAACAGTGCAGGTACGCATAAGAGAAAAATGTAGAAGTGCTGGTACTGCGTACCGGTGAGTACCGCCCCACTTCGAGCACTGATTAGGGCATTGTAGTTACATGGAGTTTTAGGTTATCTGGTTAAACTGGTGTCATAAAATTTGATTGTATTTTAGGATGAAGCCAAGTCGGAGAATCTATTTACAGTCCTGGAGAGCTACCAGACGCACTCTCCAAAACCTCCATGCAAGCCAGGCAGAAAATGCACGTGCAAGCCAGACAGAGAATCTCACTCACCAAAACCCTGAGAGCCTCAATAGAGACGCATTCATGGCATGTGATGAGAGAGATGGAGATGGAATTGTAATGGACGACGTGTCAGATTTGAAGAGAGATAAAAGCGTGAATGAAGACAATTTGTTTGAAGACGGTGTGCATGAGTCATGTGATGGGCACAAAAGTGGTATGGAGTCACCCTGCAGTGACTCAGTAAGCAGTGACTCAGACCTCGACAACCACTCTGATGGCACATTGTTTGAAGCCCTTGCAGCTTGGACCAGTGAGTTCCAGGTGAAGCACAATGCTGTGGATCGCTTACTGAAATTGCTGCAAAGCCATGGTCATCCACAACTGCCATCCACTGCCCGTACACTTCTGAAAACACCTAGAGAAGTGAAAACTGTGGAGAAGTCTGGCATGGTGAGTCTACACTACCAATTGAAGGAGAAACTAGTTGAGACCCTGGATCGTTACCCAGTTCAGCTTGTGAGTGATCTTGAGACTCTGGAGCTGTCCTTTAATGTAGATGGACTGCCTCTCTTCAAAAGTTCTGGGAAGTCTATGTGGCCAGTCCTCTGTGCTGTAATGCTTAGTCCAGTAACTATTTTTCCCACTACACTGACTTGTGGGTTGAAGAAGCCAACTGACCTTGGCTTCTTGGAGGACACAGTGAAGGACCTAGCTGAGATCTTAACAAATGGCCTGGACTACAGAGGGAGGAACATTAAAGTGACGGTTAGGTGCTTTGTGTGTGACGCCCCAGCCAGAGCAATGATTAAGAACACCAAATGTTACTCGGGGTACTATGGATGTGAGCGATGCACACAACAAGGATTATGGTTAAATCGAGTCACATACCCGGAGACATCTGATTTAGAGCTGCGTACTGATGCATCATTCAGAGCTCAAACACAGCCTGAGCACCACCATGGCAACACACCACTGTCTGACCTTCCAATTGACATGGTTCAGAGTTTCCCCATTGACTATATGCACCAGGTCTGCCTTGGCGTCACAAAGAAGCTGCTCTATATTTGGTGCAGAGGCGAAAAGGGGATGCGGATATCTGCCAGCCAGGTTCAGGAGTTGAGCAGCAGGCTGCTAATGCTGAAGTCATCAATCCCCTCGACTTTTGCACGCAGTCCTCGAGGTCTGGATGAGCTTGAACGATGGAAGGCAACTGAGTTTCGCCAGTTTCTGCTATACACAGGGAAACTGGTGCTGAAAGGTGTCTTAAGAGAGGACCTTTACAACCACTTCCTGACATTGAGTGTTGCTGTTGGGTTGCTGGTGTGTCCAACACTGGTGCAGCAGTACCATGACTATGCTCACCAACTACTACAATACTTTGTAGAGAAAGGCTGTGAACTGTACGGGCACACCTTCCTGGTCTACAACATACACACCATGCTGCACCTGTCAACAGATGCAGTTTGCTTCAAAGGCCTGGACAACTGCAGTGGTTTCATGTTTGAGAACTACCTCCAGGCCATTAAGAAGATGGTACGATCTGGAAAAAGTTCCCTGGCTCAGGTAGCAAACCGACTGGAAGAGAGTCTGAACCGGCCAATTAAACATCAAAAAAAGAGAACTTCTAAAAAAGGAAGGACCAGGCATACTATTTGGAAGATGGACATTGCTGTGAAGTTGTGGATCATGTACAAAAAGAAGGAAAGGTTAAATGCATAGTCTACCGCCACCCTGAACCTCTTTTCTCTCAGCCATGCAGTTCGTTTTTGATTCGGGTGTTCCAATACCACAGGAGGAACACACTGATGAAGAGGATTTCTACAACAGAACTCTGGAGGAGCGCCATACTAGTAGATGGGGGGCAGATTACAACTTTTATGGCAGTTCTACATCAGGTCTGAAGAAAGTTGAAAATGGATCTGAGGGATTAAGACCAAGGGGAAAGTCTTAGCCCAAAGGCTGAATCATTTAAAGACTCAAATTTTTAAAAACAAATTATTTCTAAATAAACACGACAGTGTATCAAAGGCTCGATTACCTTTTAGCTTCCGTTACGTCACCGTAGCTGCTGTTTTTGAAAAAAATAGACTCATACCCCTGTGACTTCGTGCCAGGCAGTGGGATATACCTTGATGCTTAAAAACTCAGCTGCTCATCTGAGGTGATGCGTGTCGCAGTAGCGCCGTCATATCTGACTAAAATAACATGACATATGGCCTATAACACACTCTCACACGTTTATTTTTTTGCATTTTTGGGAGTAGTAACATTTACATATGTGGTTTCAATAACCAGATGCATTTACACAGTTTGGTCTGAAATGTGGCCCAGACCTTCTGATGTGGTTTGAGTGATCGGAGTTTCGGAGGGCATTTACACCTGGTCTTTTCGAGATCGGATACAGAAAACGTATGAAGTGATTTCAGAGCATCCGTTAACTGAATTAATTGAGAATCTCACCTGAAAATCCAATAACATCAGCAATTGTCATTCAAGCAGCTGATTTCTGTATTATCCATTATGCATTCATCAGATATTTCATCCCTCTCTATTTATTTGTATTGTAAGAAAAAGAGCTTCCCGGACACTACAAAATAATTCATTTCGTGTTACATAGAAGAAAAGTTGATCAAATGGGTTTAGAATTACACAAGAAAAAAAAAACAACAACAAAAACTGATTTAGTTATTATTTCGTGCTGTTTAAAACTAGGGTTGACAATAGAATAAAATAATTATGATTACTCTCATTATTTATAATAATATGAACATTCCAGTGTTAAATCTTGTATAAAACATATTTAGGCCTAATTACAAACTACCTGCGAGGTTATTTATTTGGGTATAGCACACGCCTGAATTCAAATGAGCCATTTTAATCTAGATTAATCTAGATTCATTTCAAAATTAATCTAGATAAAAAAAATAATCTATGCCCACCTCTAATATACTGTATATATATATATATATATATATATATATATATATATATAGGATGGATGGGAGGATGTTGAAAAATTTCGCTCAACTCTGGATCAGAAGACAGCAGGTGCCGATGTTTTTTAAAAATAGATTTTATCGTGTAAGAATTAGGTGAATGGGTCGTAATACAAGTGAAAGAAAACTTTCTTGCCTTTTTTGTCTTCTTTTTTAACAACTCAGACCTGGTCTTTTTGAAGGCTGTGTTAAATGCTACATCAACCCATTCTGAGAGGTAACCTCTATTCTATTTTTCATAATGTTCGGTTTCTCAATAAAATCAGAATCAGAATAACAAATCCGGCTCAATCTATAGATCTGACTCCTGCAGACCTTTTTTTTAAAGTAAGATCAAAGCTGGTAGCGAGTAAAAGTGTGTTGCGATCGGCCTCTTTTGTAATCAACCTCTCTTCGTTCTTCTGTACCCACATATCCAGGAAGTGTACTCTAGAATGATTAATATCAGAAGTAAATTATAAGTCGTCAACCAGGTCATTCAAAAAAGTCACCAGTTCTTCCTCATAATCTCCCAAAAAATACAAAAACTATCATTAGAGATTATCTTTGAGGGAAACCAGTTAAGCGCTCTTTGATAACGTGATGATTACGTCCCTGCAGATCATCTGTCCATCATCGCCCTGGCAATTTGATTGGCCCGATCATTTTTTGTCTGATCATAATTACTCCTCAATGGATCGAGTCCAGACCGAACTTCCTGAACAAAAAATTTTGTGGGCGGAGTTCAGGCTGGCATCCAGGCGAACGATTCGCTAAATAACGATTGACAATACTCACGTTTAAGAACATGTTTCTTCTCATGTTCTTCACATGTTTATCCAATACAATTTGATAGGAGGCGCTGTGTCGAAAAACGAGGGGTCTGAGGATGCGGGACTCTGGGTGGGGGACTGTAGATGCAGGTCTCCGAGTCTGCAGCTTCACACTCGCTCTGGTTGTGCAGGAACACACTACTGACTCTTTCTCTCTACGGCTCTGGTGAACGGTTGAGGAGCCGACCAATCAAAAGTTCTCAGCATGCTCCTCTCATGAATATGGTTAAATACTTGCTAACTACATTATTTATTCATATATACACACTACTATCATTACATATAGACAAACTAACTTACATTACTTATATATAAGTAATGGAAGTTAGTTTCTCTACTTTTTTTTAACATTTGATGCATATTGTTTGTCATATGCCAATAAATTAAAAGAAAAGCAGAGACTTCAGTTTGTCACCAGCGCAGAGAAAGCCTGTAGCTTGAATAGGATCAAATCAATGTTCTTTCATGAATTGGCATTACTGGTTATTATGAAATGATGATTGGGCTAACGATCTGAAACTGAACAGTGATCATATCACCTCTCTGATCTAATAACCAGTAATAATATCTCTCTTTGATCCTTCACTCTGATTTAGTGAAGTGATTGATTCAATCGTGTGTGGTGCGTGAGAAGTGTAACCTCTGATCCAATAACCAAAATTACATAATTGAAGAGGAAGACTACATTATCTTACATTAAATGAGAAATAAATAAAGGAACGTAACGTTGGCCGGTATGGCGCTGGAGCCAGGCCCGGGTTTGGGGCTCGTATGCGAGTGAGGATTGTACTGTTCAGCCATTTCAACCTAAGAAAGATTTCAACCTAAGAAAGTTGAATGAGGAAACGTCTTCTGATTGTTCCAGGTGCTATTTATAAATGCTCAACTAAGAGAATGACTGAATAGGTCAATGAGAGAGCTGCGCTTTATAATAACATTCAGTTGTAAGTCATTTATAAGTGTTAGTTAATGATGAACTAAGCGTTTACAAAACATTCATAAATGATCAGCAAGTGATATACTAACATTTTATGTATGTTTTGTAAATTCTGTTATAAGTAATTTACAAGTGATTAGTTAATGATTAACTAATCATTTACAAAACATAAACATGCGTTTCATAAATGTTTAATAAAGGTTGTTATTTTCTCCCTACTCTTACATAATTACAAACAACCCAGCCTGAAACACATGTTGTATGAAGACTGTTTAAAACACCCCTCCTAATCCTCACAGAATTTGCAAGACAGTGTCTATAATAAATAGTGCGTGTAATTTACCGTCAGCAGAACTGATAACGCCTGGGCTTATCGATACTGTGGTCTTCCTTAATTTGGCCCCAGGGCCTGTTTAATGTTTAACACTGGGTGTTGGTACCCATCCCTGGTGAGTTCATATGGATGAAGGCCTGTTGTGTTCGGTCTCTTGGTTTGTGGTAGTGGCAGCTATTGTGAAACTCACCTTCGTCATGTACTGAGTGTGGATGGCATCGTCCTGAAGAATCACAGGGTCAAATGATATCTCATCTGGTGACAAGAGCATAGTAACTTAAAAACTCGAATGATATCTTTACCCCCTGATAATGTATTGCGGATATACATTCAAACATTTAAAGGCTAAGAGTATGAGCCATGAGTAAACTGGACAGATATCTGTGAAAAATAACTTGCGCGCCTAAAGTTGTCGACCCCCTGAATTCAGCATTTAAAAGTTAAAAGAATTTCAGTATTTATCAGTAAAAAAATACATATAAATAAATGATTAACTTATTGTTGGACAGTATGGTGTCTGTCTCATGGGCCAACATAATTAAAAACACACCTAGAGGAAAATAAATACCGGGCAAAAGTTTTAGATCGTAAGATTTTTTATGTTTTTAAAAGAAGTCTCTTCTGCTCACCAAGGCTGCAATTATTTGATAAAAAAAAACATGATCCTTCAGAAATTATTATAATATGATGCTCAAGAAACATTTATGATTATTATCCATGTTGAAAACAGTTTTTTTACATTTTTATTTCAGGATTCTTTGATGAATAGAAAGTTCAAAAGAACAGAATTGATCTGAAATGGGAAGCTTTTGTAACATTAATCTCTACATAACAGTCACTAATTCAAAAGTTTGGGGTCAGTAAGAATTTATTTTTTTATTTTTTGGGGAAAGAAATTAGAAAATACTTTTATTCATCAAGGAGTTAAATTGATCAAAAGTTACAGTAAAGACATTTATTATGTTACAAAAGATTATATTTTAAATAAATGCTGTCCTTTTGAACTTTCTATTCATCATAGATTTTGGGGGAAAAAATGGTACACGACTGTTTTCAACATTGACAATTAAAATTTATGTTTTTTGAGCATAAAATCAGCATATTAGAATGATTTCTGAAGGTAATCAGCAACAGTAATGATGTTGAAAATTCAGCTTTCAAAATACATTTTAAAATATATTAAAATAGAAAACAGTCATTTTAAATTGTCATAATATTTCACAATATTACTGTTTGTCATTTCTTTTCTTCATCAAATAAAGCAGCCTTGGTGAGCAGAAGAGACTTCATTTAAAAACATAAAAAAATCTTACTGATCTAAAACTTTTGACCGGTAGTGTATATACCAATGACCATGATATTGTCACGGGGGCGGAAGAAGGATGACGGAGAAGCAGGTAGAAAAATACTTTCTTTAATCTAGCGAAACTCAGGAACAGGTAACAGGTGCGACAGCGTGTTGAACACAAACAATAGCGGACAAAGAAGTGAAGACAGGCAGGAACTTAAATACACAGTGAAGGTGATTACAAAATGACAGGCAGTTGTGCGGGAGGTGATGAGTGTCCATGGCAACAGATAAGGGCGGAGAACTCAGATGAGGGGCACACGAGGCAAATCAAAACACACAGACAGTCCAAGGATGGTGACAGATATCCTGTTATCATTATAACGATGACCGTTATAACATTATATTTGCCAGCTATTATTTAGCCTACAGGCTTCTCAAGGACAATATCACTGAAAAAAATGGGGTTAATGAATTTAAACTGTGAGACGTCATTCAAAATCATAAATCCTACAGACCCACAACTATTGAACAGTATGTATGAAGTTTTGCTGACTAGTCGAGTTTGTCGAGTTTGTCTTGGACCGCAGGGGGTGCAGCAGGACATCAGCATGATGATCTTCAAGAAAATAACATGCAATGTGTCACAGAGCCAACAATGTTACAAAGGATTTACAATAGAACAAAGGGTTTATTACAAGGAAGCAAGCTAAAGATGAAATGCAGAAAAGATAAAGAATAT